TCCACGTGCTATCATAACTTTCTTTATTAACTCTACCCACATTAACTTTGGTCTTCTTCTTCTCCTAGTATTATCCATTTATCCTCAATGTGGGCTATGTCACTTTTCCTAACTGGTGCACTTTAAGGTGGACTTTGCACATGTCCAAACCATCTTAACCGATTCTCTCTCATTTTATCTCCGATTGGTGCTACTCCAACCATGTCCCAAATGTGATCATTTTCTAATTTTGTCCTTGTCCATGAGGCACTTTATTTTTATTTTTAAATTTGATCTTTTGACAATATCATAATAACTGGCTCCATTCTGTTATTGCTCTCTAATATATAGTCGCAATTATGACTGATACATACCTCAAAGGGCCCGTTAGCTGTGAGCTGTAGGTCTGATTTCCCTCATTATATTTTTTTATAAGTTGTTACTAGAAGTCTAGAAATAAGATATGGTATGATGATAAACATACATCAATGCAATGTATGGTGCATTCTATTTAGCGCAGAACTTCTAGGATCCACCAACACAATCAACAATATTGTCCAATAACTACCTTATATGAAAATGAATGTGGGTACTGTATTAAAAAAAAAAAAAGAAAAAAAGAAAAAAAAGCTATTTAAACCTATTTAATTAGTCGATGAGTGTGGTCGAAGTTTTTTTATCCATTTGATGCAGCGGATCAATTAAAGCAATTAAAATAAATAAGAATAGCAAAGTATTCATTCATTAAACACTCGAATCCACGAGAAGAGGTTGAGAGAAACTCTCGATTTTCTGATATTGATAAAAGTAATAACTGATCCCTAAACTATTACAATAGCATGTATTTTTAGGCCTAACCAAATTCTAAACGATTTAGGAATTAAAACAATGAAAACTTTCCTAAAATAGATACTAAACTAATAAGAAACTAAAACAATAAAAACTTTCCTAAAACATACACTAAACAGTAGGAAATTAAAACATTCTGAAAATAGAAACTAGAAAACACTGTTCATACAACTGTTCTTTCGCTGTTTACATGTACTACATCAATACACGAGAGGAAGGTAATCAAAAAAGAAAGAAGAGCCATGTAATTTGCTCAAGGAATCCTTCCACACGTTGAAAATCGTTTAACAAATATTAAATGATCAAGTATACCCTCTTTGTTTAGGCTTATCTTCATTTCATACCTTTTACTTTTACTCTCTCTAAAATTTATCAAATCTCTCTCTCTCTCTCTCTCAAATTCTCTCTTCTCCATCTCCTTTGGCCAAATTTTATGGTCCTGAAATTGGGTATTCAAAATGGTTGAATATTTGGAAGTTTTTGTTGGAGGTCTAGACAGACTCAATTTTTTTTAAAAAGAATTGGTATAGAATAATTTTTAGTAATAAGTTTTATCATCCTATTTTTTTGTTATTTTTAGACTGTTGGATTTTAGACTTATTTTTAGCTTTCATTTGCCGTCAGGTGTTCTTCAGAGAGAGCTAAATTACATTAATTTATACAATATATCAGGTTTCTCTTTTTGCCTTTTGCTTTAAGCATTCAATCAATTCAGCTTCCGCTTCATCAATATATTTCCACAATACATGCAACGTTGCATTGCATTCTTGATTTAATGATTTTATAAATGTAATATGTTAACTAAAATAGAAAATGCAACACATTCATATATTGCATCCTGGATTTAATGGTGTTAAATCCTCAACCTAATATATATATATATATATATATATATATATATATATATATATATATATATTTAATTATATCTAAAAATGTATCCAAATATGTATCAAAGAGGATTCGAGTCTCTCTCTCTCTCTCTCTCTCTTTTAAAAAAAATAAAATTGCTACATGGAAAGGCCCTCTCAAGTCTTCATTCATTGATCTATTTAATGAAGTCATAAAAAAAGGATTTTTTTTTTTTTTTTGACATAAAATTTTCTTTCGTCTTTTTCTCTTTTCTTTCTAAATCAAGAGTTCTGAGTTGTTTCACAAGATTCTTACAGAACTTTTGAAATACTTAAAACTTTCTTTTCATTTGTTTCTTCTTCTTCACCATCATAATCATCCGTGTCTTTATCCTGTACAAATGGGCACATTTCTTCAAGGAATTGTTTGCACTCAAGACAATTCAAACCTTAGACCTGATACTTCATGAAGCACCAGGGCCAAGTTCTTATCCACTTGAGCCAACCCCTTAGGGTTATAGGTCAGTGATATGTTCATACCACATTAGTAAACTTTCTCTTATTTTCTCGCTACTAGGCGCCACACCTAGTCTCTTCATAATCCTTTGATTATTAATACTATCTTCCCTTGTTATTCCTAACATTCACCTTATCATCCACATTTCCACCACATCTCGTTATGTATTTTATGAAGAACACATTTCATGTTTTGCGTTTCAGTACTGTGCAAATTTCAGTACAATATTTTTGTCTAACATTGTACGTGCTTCCCAAACCAACCAACATAGTTTTCACTTTAGAAGCTGCAATTTGTGTCATATTAGCACCTAAATTTCAAAATTCTGCTGTTATTGAGAATTTATTCCTTCCAAATCTGACCATTTTAATTCTGTTCTTAATTCTCTCTCTCCCCTTTCTATATTTCTTTTAAACTTAATAATCTATGTCGAATCTCCATTTTTGGTCCTGATGACTTTCTGTTCTCATCTATGGAGACAAAGCTATCAGAAATTGCAATTCATGCCATTTTATGCCCCAATTCCCTAAGTTCATCAAGACAAGACCCACATTTCGTACACAAAACCACCACAAAACCCAACTTGAAAGTGCTTCAATTCAAGCTAGGAAGAAATGGGTATCACCCATTTCAATATTTTTCAACTTCTCCCAAGTAATCCAATATAAAACAATCTGCTTCCTTTCTATACGTTCTCTCCCTCTCTCTCTCTCTCTCTCTCTCTCTTTTTTTTTTCTTTTTTTTTTTTTTTCTACATTTTGTGCTTTAAAGATAGCTACGAATTTGATTATTGCTAATGAAAACACGCACACATTAAAGTTATTGTTGACCCTTTCATGATACATATTAAACCATCAATTGTTGTATGAGCAATACAACTAATAGTTTTAATTGAAGGTTGGGTTGAACTCAAACTTGTGCATAGGTTTTGATACACGGGGTTGATCTTCAAATAGAGTTTTGGGTTGAGTTTGAGTTGATCTATGATCCAACCTAATTGTCCGAGTTGCAGTCATGCACATTAGATGTCTCTTCATGGGAACAAAGAAAAGGGCTAGCCCAGTGCACGAGTCTCCTGCCATTGAGGTGTCTGGGGAGGGTCAGATGTACGCACCCCTACTTCCTCATGGAGAGTGTTTCACAATGGAGCAACCTTACCATTGCGCCAAATCCCAGCCTCCTCTTTATGTGAACATGGTAGTTATTTTGCCTTCTATGTGGCAATACTATAGTTTAGTCAAATAGGTCTTTAGAAGGCTTGTTGGTAAGAGCAAGAGCTATCAAGCACTTAAATAAGCCCTTAAAGAGCACAACTATCCAAATGCCAGTGGAAAAGCACATCTCATCGTATGATTCCATATCCGTGTGCCAATTTCTAGATTCCTATTTCCAGAACCAAATTCTGAATTTCGAATTTTCTCTCCATAAGACTGAAATTTTTATTTTTCTCTTTCATTTAGTAGCTGCTGCGTATGCTTCCGGTGCATAGTTGAAAGTGAAAGCATGATAGCAATTAGAACTATGCACAACCTCTGATTTATTTTTCTAGATTAACTTTTCATTTAGTAGCTGCTGCTTATGCTTCCGGTGCCCCAATTTCTAGATTCCTATTTCCAGAACTGAAAGGAGAGCCCACGGACTACTTTGGCAACTAATATCAGAACTTCAGAGGCCTTGGCCATCATAATATCTTCATTACGAAGTGTACAACCTCTGATTAAGTTTACAAATTTTGAATGAAATGGATAGATGTAAGGTGGTTAGTTAAGTGATGAAGTTGTAACCTCATTTTAAATGCATCTATATCAAAACCAAACAAAGTAGGTGTTGCCATCATGATATCTTATATCAGAACTTCAGAGGCCTTTGCCATCATGATATCTTCATTACGAAGTGTACAACCTCTGGTTAATTTTTCAAATTTTGAATGAAATGGATAGATATAAGGTGGTTAGTTAAGTGACAAAGTTGTAACCTTATTTTGAATACTTCAATATCAAAATCAAACAAAATTGGTGTTGAAACAATGCATTTAGTGGTTATTTCCCCTTGTCCTATTATTTCCTTTCAAAACGGAAAGCACTTTTTTCATTCATTCATTATTTCATTTAACTTTCAAGCCGCTTTTTAAACAGAAGTTTATAGAAGTGGTTTTTGTATCCATCCTCTTGTGTCTCAGACTAAATTGTATTTAAATGATCTACAATATGGCTTTGCATTTGTAAGCTTCAACACCCCCTTGCATTGTGTTTGGATCATCAACAAGGGAATTTGGAAAAGGAAAGGAAATGAAATGGATCAAATTTATTTTATTTGTTTGTGTATCATTTATATAACTAAAATCATTACCAAAAAGGTAGAAATAAAATAGTAGAGGCAAAATTTTCCTTTCTTTTTTTACTCGAGATTTCAGTTCCTTCCAAATCCAACCATTTCCAATGACCATTTTAAAATATCTAAATCCATCCATTTTGAACCATCTATTCCGTTCCAACCAAACACTGCTACACTTGCTCCCAATTTTATCAAGCCCTGGGATTGTTTCTTTCACCAGACTATCTTTATCTTCTTTTGTTTGCTTACCCTACCAACCACCACCATCATTTTTATCTTTTTATTTTAGTTTATTTGATAAGTAATATATATATTAGAAAGAAACTGAGTACGGGTACCAAGGGTTGTAGCCTAGTGGTATTTCCTCACCTTCAAAAGTAGAAGGTTGAGGGTTCAAGTCCCCTTGGGGGGGGGGGGGGGGGGGGGATATTGTTGTCAAGGGGAAAGAGGCCCCCCCCCCCCCCCCCCCCCCAAAAAAAAAAAAAAAAACAAAAAACAATATGTAAAAAAACTGAAAACAATTCCCAAGAAAGGAAAAGTTACCTACCCCAACCACCGCCATCACTTAAAAAACTGGAAAGTAGAAAACGTCAAGGCGTTGTTTCCAAAGTTCAGATCAGCATAGTCACACACAAGAAAAACATGACATAAGTAATATAAAGCGTCTAGGGTAGAATTGCTTTCCACTGCATAGTAAAGAAATAAACAGAGCTTCTCTGTTCAAGATCTATCTTGTGTCTGTCACTTCTTTTGTACAGTTATGGAGGCAAAGCTATCAGAAGCAACAACTCATTCCATTCTAGCCCCCATCTTTCAAAATTCATCAAGAGTTGAGCCATATTTTCCATCCAAAGGCACACTTAATTGCAGGAAAGTCCTAAAATTCAATTTAGCAAAAAAAAAGAGCATCGCCCTATTCGAGCTTCTGTTTCTCTTATAAGGTAATACAAGATAAGAAACTCAACTACCCTTTTGGGCCTCCTCTGTCTCTGCATTTTGTGAATGAGTTTTAATTTTAGCTAAGAATTTAATTATTGTTAATTAAGATGATTTCTTTCTACGCATTTTCTTTTTGGTAAATTTTTTATTGTTGACCTTTCTATGGTAAAATATTAAACCATGATTCTTATTCTACCGCGAATTGGAATCAAGAGTGAGATTGATGGCCATTTTATGGTTTTGAAATGTATTCTGACTTGCATCTCATATATTATGATTGTATGAACATATAAGAACCTATAGAAGGCCTTGCATGTAGGCTGGGGATGATGATTTCTGCATTTCAACATCTGCTTGCAACTTTAGTCCTAGACACGTAGTTGAAAACTGAAGGTGCTCTCTTTCTGTGGGTGATCGGGCACTGGACAGTATGCTACCACAAATTCCCATATAAAGGTGTAAAGCTGTGACATTGGATGTTATTTCACCCACACATGCAAACTTTGATGATCTACTAGATCCTGCATTTGCATTCACAACCCACAGACATTCATTTGCTTTAACTACTGATATTTTAGAAAGAATTTGGTCTGCCAAGCTGCATGCATTAGTTGGTACCATAAGTGCTATCATGTTTATGAGACTTACATGTAAAGTGATAAATTGGGATTTGAGATCTATTTAGCATCGTAACAGTTCAGAATGATAGTTTTTCGAAAACCTTTGTTTTGTATCTGTTAGCCATAAAATTTGTTGAAATCTAGATTATTTTGGTTACTATTTCTAAACAATTTCTTAAATCTTATATGAGGTGTAATACTTTACTGACTAAATCCTTTGTTGCAACAGTCTCGTGACAAAATCTGTTGACAATTGAAAAGTTGCACTGAATAACAAAATATTGTTTATTGCATATCTTTATAGAAAAAAGAGTTGGTATTAGATTAGGTCCTTATGAAACATTAAAGTATAATCAACACACATGATCACAATGCATTCTCCATAGATGGCTTCAGTGGTTCGTTGGCGGAGTACATGCCGAGAAACTGAAAAGCTTCAGGCCCAGGTTACTAAATTTCCATTGAGAATATTTTTTATATAAAATGTAGAAAAGCAGAATGGTGCTGTCAACAGTATTCTAAACAGATTTTCCTTACAAATTAGGTGGGCAGATACATGAGCCCAGATGAGCATCCTTTCTTTCCGGCAGACTGACCGGAACCTATGCTTCCACCTTTGCAATACCCACAGGTTATTTCTTTTATCATTATTCTACTAGTTGGTTGAAATTGAACTTCCAAATCTGAAGCTTATATGCATTCTTTGGCATATACTGTAACTTTATTGCAGATATTATTTGCAAGTCTATTTGTTTTGTTTGTTTGATCCTTTAACATGCTGTTTTCAGAAATGCACTTGAAACTTATCCTTTAGATTTTACAAATATTGACTGTCAGAGATAGGTACCTAGACATTTTAATTAACAGTTATAGATTTGCTACTTTGAAGAAACATTCTGGCAATGGTACTTTGTAGTTGCCTCATCATAATCAGATGAAAATGAAAAGGCCATTCATTGAAGTATATATTTTTTTGGAGTGTGTCTGTAGAAGTCTTAATATGAACTTCACTTTTTAGTTTTCAGTTTTAAGAGAAACAAAAAGAATTATCTAAATTCTTTGTAGGAAAGCAATTGATTGATTTTGAAGTTTATGAATAAGTTAAAATCATCCAGTTTGCACTGGACATTGTAACCCATACAACAGGGAATAGTTGGATGTTGATGTTTATTGTATTTCTGTTACATATAATTCACTTGTAAATGTATGGAATCACATCTCTGCACATTGTTAACTTGAAAAATACTGTTTGGGGACTTGTTCTTGGCAATGCTGTGGACAACATAGAACAATGACATCAACTAGTCATTTACAATGTTAAATCTAATCGTACACCAAATACCATGGACTGTTACCTGAACGAATTAATTTTTTTGAAGTTGAATGTTCTTTTCCTCCCTTTTGGTTATGGGTAGAGTAGTCTTCTATTAAGGTGCCAAAGGGATACAACCCAAGTAAGACAAAGTATAAAAGAATAATCCATCAGAAACTTAAAAAGTATCTCACATAAAAATTATACATGGATTTAAAGACACAAGAAAGACTTGGACATCTAGAAGTGCATATATCTCAACATGCATTGCTGTTACTTATACATTGAAAGTTCCTCTCCCTTAACATACCTCTTGGTCCTCCCCTTCCAGAAACATCACATGGGATACAGGGGCTACTGCACTTCTCTGACATTTCCCAGGGACCAGTTTAGTCACCATCTTGACATCTCCTGCATGTTCCTGTGAAATAATAGGATCTATTACAATTTTGACTTGTTTGTACATTCTAGTTGAACTGCACATGATTATCCATATGGTTGATGTAATGAGTTGTGTTCCTCACTCATATATCTGGAGAAAACATTTGTAGCAACATTAGTGCTGAGTTCTTGCTTTATTAGCTGATACCATTTATTCCGACTTGTTAATAGGTTTTGCATCCTTGTGCTGATGCAATCAATATAAACAAGAAGGTTTTGAATATGTATTTTAAGGATCTTCTCCCAAGAATGGTAGAAGGCGGGAATGATGGTAACTGCGGATCATGTGCTGTCTGTGACGTGCTTGCAGGTATCGTGTTTGAGTTGATTTCACTGAGATATATAAGCAACTTTTAGCTAATCTGGACTTTTAAACAGGGGAATATCACTCTGATGTCCTAAAATGCTTTCATTTACATTTATTTTATATAATTTATTTGTGCGCTCATTCAGTCACTGAGTGATATGGATTAGTACACTGTGAATCCACAGTAATATTAGAGATCCGATTTCTACATGATGTTTAGATGTCAAAAGGGAGTTTTGGAGCAACAACCGAACTAATATTACTAAACGTTACAAGAATGGTTTTAGGCAATTCTATTGTTGGATTGATTACTATCTTCATCACACGTGGATTTCTTTGTTCCTCACTCACTCATGGTCTTCCATGATGCAGCTGTAGTTATGGAAAACTGCAAGGAAATGAGGCCCACTGTTTGATAGCTCCCTGTGGTGGCTCTCTGCCTGAAACCAACCTCATGTCACTATGGCTATCTGTTTTCAGGCAATATATCTATGTGTATGTTACAAGGACAATAATTCGATAGTAACCAAGTTAAATTTATTTCCTTTGCATGGAAAATCTCATTTCTGGGACCCATTGATATTGAATGTTGCTTCTTATATGAGCAACAGGGGTGGCGTCAGTTTTTAACATGGATTCGTTAATTCAACTTCCCACATCTGCTGTCCTTATCTAATTGTTTGTTTTTGCTGGTGTATCTACTTCTTTTGCTGTGTTAGATTGTCAAATTAATGATCAGACAAGAAAATTTTTGTGGAAGCATCAAGGCAGGATGCAAAAATAACAATAGGCCGCTGTCTTCCCCTCCTTCCTGCATTTATCTTTTGCGTATTGTGCGAGTGTTTTGTACATAAAAGTATGTCAGCCTTTGGTATTCTCAGTGATGTATGAACGAGTCAGTTTCTAGGGGTATACAAATTGATCAAAATTAAATTGCGCAAACAAACTATTGAGATTCATTTCATTTTCTTCATAGAAAGACTTTTGCTGAATGGTCTGCCTCTCTTATCTTTTGGTGGACTATCTTGTCTTCTTCGTTATGGTTGCAGGCACTCTCGAAGAGAATACATTATGGAAAATTTGTAGCTGAAGCAAAATTTCGAGAATCCCCAGCCAGCTATGAGGCTGCCATCAAAGGGCAAGTATGGTTCTTAATTTCTTCTTTTCTCCTTTATGTAATCCTGTACTGGGGATGTTGGTTTTGCAGGACAGGGCTCAACTTATGGTACTACTGACATATGAAACAGTAGAAGCAGCAGTAAAGAAGAGGGTAGAGCTGAAAGCCAAGACGTACGGCCAGGAGGTAAAAATTGAGCCAGTGAAAGACGCGGTAAATCCAGTATATAAGATCAAGCCGATTTTAGTTGCCAACCTGTATGGAGATTGGGTCATGCCCCTCACAAAAGAAATTCAGGTTGAGTACTTGTTGAGGAGGTTGGACTAAACCTCCAGTCACCTTCTGGCCTGCTTGTGTGATCAAGCATTATAATTTACGGTTTCCAATCTAGAGACAGCCACCTCATCCAAATCAAGCTGAAGAAAGTTTGGTTGTTACCAAGATCAGCCCCTCCTACCACCTCAGATTTGCAGGAACAGCATTCCGGGCCTCGTTTGTAGTGCTTTGTGGATGGATGAGTAAAACAATTACAACTTTTTGTTATGAAAGTTTTAATGTGTAGCTGGTCTGTCATCCTGTTTTGTCGACTGAATGTGCACAATTTAGAATGCATATATATGTATATATATCCTTCAATGTGTTATGTAAGTTCTGTATCCTTCAATGTGTGCTTTCATGGCTTGGCCAAGGCTGGTATTGGGCTAGTGGTTTGTATATCATTTACTTGAGGACCATGCACCCAAATGCCTATCAAAGAAGTGTGCTACAGTTGTGACTGTCCGCCGATACTGTGCAAGCACAACCCTTATAGATCGGGGGCTCAAAGATCTAAGGGTTACCTTACGTAGTCACGACTGCACTTGGCAACATGCAATTCTATCATTTATTTCTGGTAAGAGTTCTAAATAATCAAGTAAATTAAACTTAGTGACGGAATTAACTTTTTAGGCAGGGTAACAATCAACCATGTACAAATTTTGAGACGATTCGTCTCAATTTTTGTAGATATCATCTGTTTGGCATACTCTCTTCGGAGTGATTTGTTTAATTCACAATTTTTAATTGATCATGCATGTAAAATATAAGGAAGTAGAGATTTTACTTTCTTACCAATAAAAGTAGTAAATCAAATAACTCACTTTCACAATTCGACCTAATTATCATTATTCTTTCTAAAATAATGCAAGACTCACCTTAATCTGTTTAGATATTATCTGTTTTGTGCACTTCTCCCCATTTTACTCCAAACATTATCTACGAAATATTCATATTTTAGCTCTTAAAAACATTGTCTACGAAGTATTCATATTTTAACTCTTAAAAGTGATTTAGATGGTTGCATCAAATTTTGCAGGTAAGGTGGTGTAATTTATCATTCATAAAACTAAGGTCAAAACCTTGGTTGTCATAATCAACTTTTGAGCTGGAATATATGTGAGCTTGACCCTACCATGTGCAATGAAACTTTTTTCCGGTCACATTCTTAAAAATGTTCTTCTTTCTCTTTCCTTTCTTTTCTTGTTTTTCTTCACCCCCTTTGTATGTTTCTACAAAAAGCTTGGTGTTGCATGTCTAAAGTATTTTTCTTTTTTCCTTGGTGGTTCGTATCTTTTTAGTCATGCATATCGTCAAAAATATTAGAAAAATATCGTCAGTGACCTAGTAGTATTAGGTTTTTACTTCTCAAAGGAAGGTCAGGAGTTTAAGTCTCGGTAGAGATATGTGTGTATGAATACCAATTAAAAATAATAAGAATTGATAAATTCTACCTTTTCCTACTTAAAAATGTTTTATCCATTAAATTATTCTTCTTCTTCTCCTTAATTTTGAATAACATATATATTAAATTTATTTTATTTTAACATTTCACTTATGAAAAAAAAAATTATTTTACATTTATATTCAATTTTAATTCTCTCTAAAAAGTCTTAGTTTATTTTCTAAAGTAGTAATATTAGTTTTATTTGAAAAGAATTGAACTATTCTCTTATATTTTATAAAGACTAATTATTAATAATTGAAATTTATAAATTGGTGAAAAAAAAAATCAATTGCTAAGAAAATATTAGACATATATATATAATTTTTGCACCAAAATCTCAAACCAATTTATTTAATTAGAATTTCTATCCCTGTAAGTGAATGCGACCCATGTTTAAGGTTTATCCACGTGATTAAATATCATTATTCCTTATAAATATATCCATTATCCTATTTTTATTGTAGTAATAATTAGTCACATGTATCATGGTTTACCAATTACCATTTTTGTCACTCACACTTAAATTACACAGATAAATAACAAGAACGCCCTTCGTTATTAAACAATTTACCTTTCTCGGGAAAAGTGAGCGCCGCTTTTAAGCGGAGCTGGATGTTTGTCTTTATACCCCTCGTTGGAGGCTGTGGTGAGTGAGGCTATAAGACACTGCCTTCAAACCACAGCCATAGATAGATTTTTAGAGTGAGAAACAGAGTTTAGAGAGACAGAGCTATTATGGAGAAAGCTCTGGTGAAAGTTGGAAGCATAAAAGCCGGAAGCTTTTGGCTTTCCAAGAAGGCCAAGGAAGAGTTCACCAACATCACTGAAGATCTCTCTGTATGTACACATTTTTCATTCTTCTTCTTTTTTCCGGTTATTTTACTGATTTTTCAGTTTTCGATCTGTTTCTTTTAGTGGGTTATTGATTAAGATATGAAATGGGGCCTAATTAAACTGTGCCCATTGGATAATTTTCGGCTAATCGTGGGGATGAGCATAAGGGTTTATAGATTTTTATAAAATTGAAATGTAAAATGGAACAATAGTTGAAAAAAGGGAAGGTCTAAACATGAAAAGATACATGTATGTTGGAAGAAATGTGGCATTGTTATGATATAGAATGGGGCTTAATTGAACTGTGCCCATTTGGATAAGTTTTGTCTAATCATTGGAATGAACACAAGGGTTTACAGATGTTTCTGAAAACGACATGTAAAATGGAACAATAGTTGAAATATATATGTATATATGTATAATTGAATTATGGAAGAGATGTTGCAACTTATTGTTTCGTGAATTGGTAGATGTATTTATGTCAAATGAAAGCATATGAATCATATAACTTGATCCTTGTTTGTGAGTCATGACTAGTGTCAGTCTTGGTAAAATAATATTTTCATAATGCTTGGGAATGAAACTGTGGTAAACCACTCGAGCCTTAGAGCAGCCACCTTGTGAAATAACAAAGATTAGGTTTGTCTCAAGTCCTTCCTTCCCAAGACCTCTGGGTAATGCCTTTTTTTGTGTGAGTTCAGACTAGAACTGGGTAATGCCTTTCTTTATGACACTATGTCTTGATTTATGATAAATGACTACTGAAAAGGAAAGGAAATGAGAGATAGATTCTGTTTGGATATTATGTTAAGCACTCTAGCTTAGGATGTGTCTGGTCACAATTTGAAGTTGCATATCTCAACGGAAAGGAGAGAGAGAGAGAGATTATGTTTGGATATTATGTTAAGCACTATAGCTTAGGATGTGTCTGGTCACAATCTGAAGTTGCATATCTCAACGGTGCAACAACAAGACTGCAAGAGTGTGAAAGAAGCTAATGGCACATTTGCACTTGCCTGTTGAAAATAGATGATATTACCTTCGAAATCATTTTCGGGCATTGCCCCTTTATGCATAGCTATCAGATAATGGTACCACATCAAATTTTGGTTATGTGGTGACTGGCAAATTCAAGTTAAACAAGGGGATTGCTCATAATGAACTTCTTGACCACAACTAAGCACTTGTGCATGATGCACATTGTTATTATTATTATTGTGTAAATTTGATCTTTTGACAATATCATAATAATAATTGGCTCCATTCTGTTCTTGCTTTCTAATATATAAGTGCAACTATGACTGATACATACCCCTACATAAAGGGCCTGTTAGCTATGAGCTATAGTTCTGATTTTCCCTTTTTTTTTTGTTTTAAGTTGTTACTAGAAATAGGATACAGTATGATGATAAACATGCACGATTGCACTATATGGTTCATCCTTTTTAATGCAGAACTGCCAGGATCCACCACCACAATCAACAATATTGTCCAATTTCTGCTTTGGGTTCCCCTCATGGTTTCAAAATGCATTTTAACATATTGACAGGAACCCACAAAGAATATTGCATGTAGTTTATATTTTTAGCAGGTTATACTATATTAGGAGCTTATAATGAATGTTGCTGTAATTTTTTATTTTTTATTTTGTATAAATTTTTAGAGGCTTTAGGATTCAAATTGAGGTTTTATTTACTACCATATGGGGCCGAATTTGTAGTGTCTCTGAATATTTCTATGATCTCTAAACCCTAACAAAGTGCCTTATTGTTGTAACGCTGACCCAAGGGTGCATGAGGGTGCATGAAGAAGAAGAGGAGTGAGGACCATCATTGTCCTTAGGATGTCTGGGCAACCCTTATTATATTTTATACAAGTGTATAGTCAGACTTTCACTTTTCAATTTGCAATTGATTACTCAAATAGGCTTAAGCATGTCAAAATCAGATAATTTCATCTGCCAAACGCAATATTAATGTTCACTTTGCAAATAGTTATTCCTTGATTTGATACTTACTGAAAGATTGCTTACTTTGGCAGACTTTCTCAAACACTGTTGAAGAGAAGGCGAAATGGGTTTTCAACAAGCTAAAAGGTTTGCAATCAGATTCTATTTAAGTGTGCTTATGATAGTTTAAACATCAAGATTATCAATTTATCATGCTTTGAGTCCTTCATGCTGTTAAATATACAAAATGAGAAAAAATTTCTTTAACGTAAGTCAACATACATCCTGCATTGGGGTTTTTGTCTGGCTGAGGAGCAGGAACTCCTTGAGCTCAAGTAGGTGCCCTCACGATGCACTGTGGACCTAATAGATAGATGATGTTACAGAATTAATTTTCTTTTGGGCTACCTCATGACTCGTTATGTATAACTTCATAATAGATGTAGAAATATAGGAGGGACCGAACAACAAAAAAGCAGAAGGCTGATCATGGTAAAGGATAAACTACGTTCAGTTTGACATTGGAGTATATGTTATTAAATTGTAGGCAACTTGATCTTAAGGGGAACTCATCTTGTTTGCTCGCAAGTGATGGGAAATATATTGTCACCTTTTCCTTCTTGGGACATCCAATCCATAGTTTGTAGCTGGTTATTTAGGTTATGTGCTATGGAAGAGTTAAAAAGGAAGAATTATACCACACAATGCAGATTCTGTTTTCTTGGAACAAATTTTTCTTTCCTCCTCTTTTTTTACCCTTTTCTTTTTGACTCGTGTTGTTCACTTGTTCCACGGTGCAGAATCTTCTCTGTATGATTAGTTGATTGTCTATTTATTATGTTTGCATAGGGAAGCCACTGAAAACATTGCCAGATCTCCTTCGAGAGTACAACTTACCACCAGGCCTCTTTCCCCAGAACATTACATGTTACGAATTTGATGACACAAAGGCCAAACTGGTTGTTTACTTGCCCTCTACCTGCGAGGTCAGCTTCAAGGACTCCTCCGTCATAAGGTATGCCACTCGGGTAAAATGCATTCTGTTGCGTGGTAAGCTCACCAGCATAGAAGGAATGAAGACAAAGGTCTTGGTATGGGTTAAGGTCACAAATGTGGCAGTTGAAGGATACAAGTCCGATAAGGTGTGGTTCACTGCTGGTGTGAAGAAATCAAGGCCTAAGGTTGCTTATGACACACCCCTTAATGCTGTAAGAGTTGATGAATTTTGATATTAGACTATTAGATTAGATATCTGATTCAGTTGGTGAATAATTCTAGTGAACAATTTTAAAAAAGTTGGCTACATCAATTGTTCTTTTATATTTGGACAAGATAAAAAACGACTGTGTTGTGAGTTGTGACTTCCATCATTTGCCAAAGTGAATGGGACATTACATTTGTTTTGCATCTCATTTTGATTTATTTATTTTATTATTGGTGCGCCATAGGTTCAAACTTTGGCATATCAAACATAAAAAGGTAAAGTACAAGAAAAAAAACCCGGTTATATAAAAATTGTGCACAAAACACCCCTTTTGTTTAAGTATGAAAGATGCAGTGAATGTTGAAATTGGATTTTGCTTTTATTTATTTGTTTTATTTTATTTGGGTTCATTTTCGGCTAAGTTGGTTTTAATATTTGAAGGGTGGGTTGCATCATTTTCGGTTAAAATAGGGTTAAAAAATTCTATACTCCTATTATTCACCCAAACAAGAGAGATGTGTCTGCCTTTGCAAAATGAAATTAAATCTCTTTTAGCCATCCTATTCTCTTCAGTCAACTCGGGCATCTCTTTAGTTCTCTTTGCAGAGATATCAAACCCTAATTAGATGTGATGCAGCTTCAATTCCTGCAGCACCAGTACAATAGCTGTTCCGAACCGTCTGCTTACAGCACTTGTAAGCCCATTGATGGTTACTCCACCACGATCCCAACACACTACTATGGTTATTATTGTAGACATCCTCTTCGTACTTGCTCCGGGATGTCTCATGGCCGCCTTCTATCATCCTGCCGAAACAATCATATTCAACCTCCCTTTCGCAGCTTTGTCCGAGTAGGATTACTGTTGGAAGTTGTTCATCTGTAACCGTAGCCGAATTGCCATACCTCTCTGTTATCTTCTCCGTTATTTGGACCTTCAATTTGTCCTTGTTGATTTGGTAGTTTTTATGAAGGAGCTCAGCTTGGGATGGACCTGCTTGAATGTGAATTTCATGATTCCCTTTCTCAAAAGCTTCCCATGCATGGATTTTAAGCTGTTGGAAAGCTAATGCTTGTCCACTTGCTCTACTTTGATTTTCTCCGGCATAGAATTTCTCGTTCGGATCCATATCTGGCAAAGGATCCTCACGCATGGCCCTGGTTTTTGGATCATAATGTGCCGAGTCCACATCCAGGTTGAGAAGATACTTTGCAGTGTCTTCTCGGATCCGCAGGTTCCTAACTGTGCCTGTGCTCCCACCCCCAGTAGTCCGAACACGCTTCTCAGCCTTGGCGAACTCTGCCGGCTTACTCTCGTCCACTCTAAAACCATCTTCATTGTTGGTTTTGGAAAACACCAGGTCCGTGACATGTTGCTTCTTCAAATACTTTCTTCTGGCTTCATCTCTGGCTTCATATCTTTCAACAACATTGGCATAACTCGCTGCATTATAACCATTCCAACGATCGCGTTTGCCATTATAATCCAGCTCGATGGTCTCAATTTTCTCGTCAGCTGCGATGGTCTTGTCAGTCCATCTCGCGCATGATTTCAAGTCGTGTGTGATGACTCAAAAGTTTTTGAACCTCTGTCATACCAAGACTTGGTGTAATTTGGGTCTGGCTTCCATTTTTTCTGATGTTTCAAAGACGGTGTCTCTGCATTGAGATACCAAGGCGCAGATGACATGGACTGGGGTATGTGAGGATTGATTTCTCTGCCATCCTCGTCGACCTCGGCCAGAGCAAGCCCGGCCTTTCACGCGTCTTCCATCTCCACCTGTTTTCGGTGGTCCGCCCTAGATTTGAACGTTGATGATGCAGTCGCCATGCTTCTCTTTGTACATGAGATGCCGTGAATGTTTGAATTTTTTTTTTTTTCCCACGGTAAGAGAGAATATATACACAAATCCTTGTGAGTCTGAGTTCAGTCGATTTGGATTTGGATTTTATTTTACTTCGTCCGTTTGGATAGGGTTCAAGGTTGAATGAAGTCATGTCTACATGAGAGTAACAGATTCTAATTCTACCAGGAAACATCTCTTCAAATAACCCCTCAATTTATTTTTATTCAATTTGGGCAATTTATTTATTTATTTGTCTTTCCCAGACGTATACATGTTATATGGCCGAATGTTTAAAATTGGATGTCAACGCAAATTATAAGCAGCGACTCCTAAACCTTTTTTCATTTTTGTTATTTTCTACAATGACCCCTAACCTAAACCTACAATAATTTGATAATGTCAATACCTATATTTTACAAGGCTATTTGTTAATTTATTTTATTTAAATGAAAAGTTACATTGAGCCATGGAAATGGCAAAAATTGAGTAAAATTGCATACATTTAAAATGATGTTTTAAGGTTAGCTAATCAAAGAATGATTTAAGAACCGGTTACAGAATTCAATTTATGTGAGTGGGGTGGTGGGTCCCATGATATAATGTCACCTGTAAAACCCCTCCACCCCTTACATAAATTGAATTCGGTAACTAGCCACTTTCGTCCCTGAAACACTACTCAACAACAAATAAATTATCTGCAGAAGATCATCCATAATCCTCTTGTTTAACAAGTCACTGAAGCATATACTCATCCAAGGGCATGGGAGATTTCAAAAGACACTCCATATTCAAAATAAAAAAACACTGCAACTAAAACATTACTATTGATCCACATTCACAATATTTTGACTAGAATGAGTCTCATTTCGCATAACTAAACTATGAAATATTTTTGGTCAGAAGTTTTACCGGTCAAGATAACTGGAATTAGCCACCAACATTTTAGATATCTTTCCCAAAGAGGTAATGTCTGCATTTTCATTTCCGAAGCAGTATGCAGAATTTACAGCTTGATCAATAATTAGTGGGCATCCAGGGTTCCAAAACTGCTGGTGCCCAGGATATATCCATCCAATGATAGGTCGTATTTAAGAAAGGTCACGCCTCTCATCGTATAAAAACGAGTCTCTAATTAAACAAAACCTGTATCAGTATTAAGCACTACCATTTCTCCCTGTTCTGATCTTCTATCATTCCAAAATTTTGTCGTGTGTTTTCTACATGTTTTCCATTTTAGCTGCTGAGAGCAATTTAGAAAGCAAAAAACAGGTATTATTAGTGGTATTGGAAGGCGGATGAAAAATATCATTGAAACACAAAGTCAATCGTAAACACTATAAGACTAGATTTTGCTATAGTAATTTTACCGGATGTCAAAAGTTCTTGGTGTACCTTGGTGTAACTCATTATCACAAAGGAGCTGCAGTTGTCGTGTCACGAATGATCTCACATATTGATATAACATTCTCTATACTCAACAAGAATATGATGCACCATTCCAAGAGATCCGACTTTCTGTTTTGGAGGACTTCTTGAAGAAAATGAATGTTGTGCTGTGAAAAAGAACAATTCAATTAAAAGGTCTAACAATGGTCACATAAAAGAATATGAAATAACATTATTTCATACACTACTACATAATTATATGATGCATCATTTATAACAATACATAATTATAATAGTTTTTATCACAGTTAATGGATCATACACTATATTTAGGTAAATTATGGACATTAGCATTAAATTTATGCTGTAAACTGTATGATGATTGATGACATTCAGACAGCCATAAATACCATATCCAAAGCCACATTTTCAAGCATTAGAATGGTCGCCATGTAAGATATAACATTTCAAGCAAGTGTATATATAGTAGCCACATCACTCATTAAAAAAAAGTTTATATATGAGCCACATTACTGTTGGCATGTCAATTTTTGGGCCAGTTATTAGTTAGCAATCAAAACCCTTCATGTGCAGTTTCTAGTTTCTATAAATTCGTTGAAAGAAGACAGATTTCTTCTAGTATCTTTTACTCAACACCACCTCCAAAACCAAATCATCCAAATATGTGCTATCTTAAGAAATCATCAAGCAAGGAAACTTTTAATATCCTACAGGCACCAATCTGAACGTTAATAACAGGACTGAAGGAAATATTAGACGTAAATGATACCTCAACAAATTTCAATTTGAAATCAAGGTTTCCGAAACGTTGCGTGATCTCATATTCCTCCCTAAGGTACTCAAAGATTTGAGCATATTTTGCATCTCTCCAAGCAATTTCTGATCTGAACAGAGAAGGGCATAAGAAATTTGAGATATTGCGACATTAATATTCAAGAAACTCACTCAGATAATAAAATAAACTTGAGCAAAAATAATGTAAAACATTTCTTACTCAAAAATATATATATAAAAGTTCAGAAAAGATGCAGCAAAATGTTTCTCATACCAGGGCAGAATGCGGCAAAATGTTTTTACATTTCTCCATTCTGAACTACCATAAGTTCTTTTCTTTTTCTTTTTTTTATATAAAGAGAAACTTTAAGTTTCATATTTCAGTACATAAGTTTCATTTCCAGAGAAAAACTTAGATTATCAATTGTGTGTGCCGCGCGGCCGCCGGGGGGGGGGGGGGGGGGGTGTTTGGGGTTGTGGAACCATAATACACTTCTTTGTACTCCTTATATGCAGATATATCTGGCCTCTGGTGATATCATATGTGAAACAACCATTTGCATCTGTGTGAGATTACCTCTCAAAAAGACCGACTTTGAGAATTACATCGGCGAGATTCGAATTTGCCTTCCCAACCAGTTGAAAGAGTTTCTTCCTATTCATTGTGAAAGTTCCAGTTTTCTCCATTCCACGGTTTATATATGTGAATTCTTCAACCATACCATCAACCTGAGAGAGAGGGAGTAAAAAATTTATTCCAACTTCTAATTTAGTTTACGCCAAAACTAGCATTCCAAACAGCAAGCTATGCAAAAGATATATAGTCACATTTAGAGGCAAAATGACAAGCAATACGCATGGTGAATGCTATGTAATTTTGTTTCAACCATAAAGAAATTAGAACCATATATAACAGTTTACAGGCACTACCATGCCTTTTTCCTCCACCAAATAACACAGAATTATCGAATATATATTTCTCAAAACTATTTACCTGTGAAACAAAATAATCCAGAGCAATACTTTGCCCAAGCACACAACCAATAATGCGGATACTATCAGTGTCCAGATGTTTTAGAACAATATAGTCTGGACCTCCCTGCATATCCTCAACCAACATTGGCTTCTCTTTTACAGCATAATCTATTAACAAACGAAAGTGGAAAATGAACAAAAACATTTTAATAATATATAAATCCATCAACGAATGTGAGTTTACACTGCATGTATAACAGTGACCATACGGCAAAATATAGAGTATCATCTGGGATGGATATTGCGTAGTATGAAAATCTAATTGCTCATACAACCATAGAATCAACAAGACTGTTTGAATCATGTGGGTTCAACTCTTACCATCTGATCAAAAGACAACTATAAAAAGGATGCAAAAAATTTGTAGAAGGTTGCAGTACGAACAAGTAGAAATTGAGAAAAAACAGTATTTTCTCTAAACACACATGCTCCTTGATATTATTTCTGAAGTTTTGTAATTTCTGGAACAATGACCAACTAAATTATGACAAAACAATATATAAGGGAGATTCCTTTATCATGTCAAGTGAGAGGTTAGGTAGGCTCAAACAATGTAATAGTCTAATATACATAGAGCATCAGTTGATCCTCACCAGTCTCAGAAAACCTATATATGAAAGAAATCTGCCAATTCAGACCCGTGGTCTTGTGGCCTTCTAGTAGCTAACTTCTTCCTTATTTGACAGTTATATAGCCAACTCCCCATACCCTTCCCCTTCCTCCCTCCCTCCCTTTCACCCCCTTCTCTTAGTAAAGAAAAATTAGTAAATAAATAAAAACAAAAAATGAACGCCTTCTTACAAATGAATAAAACAAGGATAACCACAGATAAAAATATATATATTTAAATGCTAAATATTATAGAGCTTCCACAACAACCAGCTATATAGCCAACTCCCCATACCCTTCCCCTTCCTCCCTCCCTCCCTTTCACCCCCTTCTCTTAGTAAAGAAAAATTAGAAATAAATAAAAACAAAAAATGAACGCCTTCTTACTAATGAATAAAACAAGGATAACCACAGATAAAAAAAATATTTAAATGCTAAATATTATAGAGCTTCCACAACAACCAGCTGTAAGCAATTAGCTTGAGTGCCATTTCTAGCAACTCCCAAAGGACCAAGGGGGAGGTGGAGGTTCAGGTCCTGGTGGTTATCTGTGTGCATATGGTGTACTTATTAATATATATTATGGAGCTCCCAAAAATTATTTCAAAAGGATTACAATTTTAAAGAGACAAAAGATATTCAACTAAGAAAATCCTCCAAAACACAAGGTACATCTGATAAGCAGCCACTTCTCTCACATGTTGTTTAAAAATTGTGGAAATATTTCATTAGGTACTACTAACAGATTAATTATTATTATTATTATTATTATTAACAAAAAAAGTACAGAAGATGTGGAAGTGAAATCCCTTTCCAGAGTCCAGATTAAAGTGCATATAATTTGTCTTGCTTCTGTTTCTTATAACATCTCATGAACCAGAGTCAAAGGTCATTCGGCAATGAAACCCACATAATCCGTTGTCTATCAAGAGCAAAAGCTGAGTAAAAAACTCAAGAAGCCAGTTCCTGATCCAAAATAACCCATAATATCCAAAGGTGGTTAAGTTTACAATTTCAGTTCTACAAAATGAATAAACACCGTCATCATCACTGTCACTAACATGGTCACAGTGTTCCAAACTGTTTTGGGGTAAGGTTGCATGAAAAAATATTTAAAAAGAAAGACTAAATTCCAATTATGAAACTTCCATGATACTGGCATATAGTCATACAAAAATTATAAAGAAAAACACACAAATGATAATTAAGAGGCATAATGTAGTAAATATCAATTTCCCAAGAAGAAAAGAAGATATATATATATATATATATATATTGGGGGAGGGGGAGGGGACTGACCATCTTTCTTTATCTCTGGAAGAAATCCAGAAGCATGTCTTCTAATGATTTCCAGGTAAGATTCAACCTCATCATCCTCCATGTTGAACAGGACAGCCGACCCGTATTGGGATACAACCATGTAACGCCAGTAGTTCACATTCTCTTCAACTCCAATTCCCTGAAACCGAAGGTTTCAAGTCAGCAGAAGGGCTATGAATAATATATATTTGAATCTAAATTAAGAAGTTCAGGACGATTCTCTCAGTCTTTTTGGAACTCAGTTATAAGAACAGGCACAATATTGTCAACTGGAACAATGACTATACTACATAACTCCAACCTGGTCCACTATTGCAAACCAATACAGAAATTTAACATGACATCAATCACGGCATAACCCAAAAATACCGTCTACAAAAAAATTTAAGCATGGACACTTAAAAGCCTAAAAATTAGTAACAAATGGGTATAAAGCTTCATATGTCAGGCCAAAAGCCAGTAAGAATCTATTCCATTGGACCAACTAATTGAATAATATTCAATTTCTTGAACAAGAAGAAAAACCAGAGCAGTATAATTATGAACAACTTCTAAATATGCTGTGTCAAGTTTTTCCTCTGAAAGATAAACTGTTAAAAACTGCTTAAAAAAGAAGGGTAGGCTACATTAATGCAAAGTAAATGAACCAAAAAAAAAAAAAAAAAGTCTCGTTGATAACGGTACGAAATGAAAAATTGATGTAAGAACCAGGGAAAATCAGAAGAAAACAGAAAGAACTGGGGAATATAAATAGATGACAAAACGTTTATTGACTCTTCTTACAGTAGCTTCTGAAGGGAAATTGCGAAATCTGAGGGCAATATAATTTGTTGAGCGAGAGGTTGGAGGAATAACATTGCTTGAATTCTCGGCTTGCATGCTCTTCAAATCGATACTGCCAAAACCATGAATCTGAGAAAACCAAACCATAAAGAAGAAAAAGAAGAACAAGGAAAGATGAGAGTGAGGGAGTAAGCCCCAAAAAAGCAAAGCATGTGAAGAAGAGGACGTACAAGAAGATTAAATAAACAAACCAAAAAACAACACAAAAATCTATAATAATGATCCAACGAGTAATATGGTCAGTTGGTCATCTTCTAACAAACAAAAACCTGTAAAATAAATTGTCAGACAATCTGAAGGAAAACATGAATTTTCTTCTCTCTTTCCCTCCCCCCACCACAATTCCCCTACTCTATTAAGAACTTTGAACCTTTATTCTTTTGGTAGAAGTTATCTTTTTGAAAAAAAAGACCACACCCTTTGGACAGGGATCGGGCACTCTGGTAATTTTAGCAGTGTCACATATCCTATTTTTTGGAAGTCATGAGAAAATCACACATTCAGACACATTCAAACTTGAAGCACAAATCCGAGTCCATGTAACATTGGAGTCCATGTAAATGATTTATAATACTCATTTAAATAGAAAATCCCTAACTACGAAGGATAATCAAAGAGGGGTGATAGCAATTTAACATCAGTTCATTTGTCATGTTCCAAATATAACAATTTTTTCAAAGTTAAAGCTTTAAAGAGCTAAAAATTCAAACTAAGACAAAAACTTGCAACTTCAGTCAGATAATTGCTGGAACCAAACATGGAGAATAGGATAATAAGGTCTAAGCAAAATGAAGGTTCAATTTAATTTCTACGGAAATGAAAGCTCGTGAAAACTTTTTGAAGTAAGGACTGATGTTTATTCCACTTGGGTTCCACTAGAGTCTCATGTGAACTTTTAAAAAGGCATCCGTTGGAAGAATTAATACAGAAGTTCTTACGAAGAAAAAGGGAAGCTGAAGTTGACCGAAGGGTGGTTTAAGAAAACCAGGAGAAAGACATGTGCCCAATAACTGTTAACACCGGAGTGCTCACAGGAAGAATTAATCAGAAAAAGGTCAAAAGTTCAGCATCTGCTTAGTGAGTGAGGGGAGGTATGGAGGCATAATGTACTACGTTTGCAAGGACATCTGTTAAATTTGTCATGTTCAATTCCAAGGCCTACAACAACTATTTTCAGTCCAAAAACCAAAAAGGGTTTTCTAACCTCTTTTTCGGAATCAACTCAAGTGGACTTGACTTCCCTATGACAGTGCAATTTATAAGTATCGAAAATTGGCAACAATAAGTACGGTAATAGAACTCTCAAAAACTATGCTAAGTATGGCTTTTCCCATCCTGTGAAATGCTCCCAATGAGTTTGCTCTGAATAAACAGCTTTTTAGCTGAAGTGGTAAATTGAGAATAGTAGCTCATTATTTTGCAAAAGTAAATCTATCTACACGAAATATTAGAGCACATCACAATGTCAATAAGTGTAGACCTTTCTCTGACATAATTTTGCCGGCAACACCTCTAGTCACTTGAAGGAAACAATGCTTAATGTCAACAACAGTACTTCCGATTCATCAAATATCCTAAATCTACCAACACTAGTGACTATCAATGCGCATTATATGCAATCCACACCCAAAAGTTGTAGCCATAACTAATACTCCAATTTTTTTATCTTTTTTATTTTTATTTTTAATAAGCAATAGCTAACATTCTTTTTTCTTTTCTTTTTTTGTGATAAGCAATAACTAACATTTCAAATTTCAGTCAGTTCACTCAATAATACACCAATGCGAGCAGAATAACATCAAATAAACACAAACAAACGCCCAAACAAAAAAAAAAAAAAAAAAACACCCAGAGATTGCATTATCCAAACAACCCAACAATGAAAGACAACTTTTGCATATAAATATATGTCCAGTGTGTGCATATACAATTATATTGTAGGTCAGAAATGAACCTGGTACACAGAAAAAAGGCTTTGATGGGGATTTTCCCTGTATCCTCATCTTCATCGGACTCCGACACGTAGTCCTCTCCATAATTCTCGGAATCAATTTCGTTTCCATAGTTGATGTATGGTGATGGGATTGCAGAAAACACCCTTGAACCGAGGAATTGAAATCTGGGTTTTGAAGAAGGTAAGAGGTGGTGGAGAGGTGTGAGAGGACGAGAAAGGATGGGGCTATGGCTAGGGTTACGACAAGCGAGAGATTTGGGTATTCTGGCGATGTATGAGAGGATGAGGGAAGATACCCATCTCCCCATTCACTGATTAATTCCTTTCTACTTTGTTAATCGTCGTTTGGTTCAGTTCTGTGTGTTCATGGTATAACTATTGGTTTTCAGTTGTTTCCCTCGTCCGGACTCTTTTCTCTTGAGAAAGAGGAAATGTCAATGGAGGTTGTGCAGAGGAAATGGTCTTGTGATCGAACCCTGATAATGAAGTATAGGAGTGGAGACCAATTACCAAAAGGAGAAAAATGTAAATGGTGAGAGTGATAAATTCATTAAAATATTTTTGAATAAGGTTATGTTTGTTTCTAAGTAAAATGTTTTTTTGAAAAATATTTTTTTTTTTTGGAAAATATTTTCTTTTTTCAGGTAAAATATTATTTTATTATTATTATTTTTTTTTTTTTTTTTTTGTGTTTAGGAAAGGTTTCTGCCAGGTCTAGTCTATCAGTGACATGCAGAACATCTTGTTGAAAATAAATGAATTTTTGTTAAATTTTAATTTTTTTTTTTCATAAATATTTTACAATAACCAAACGTCAAAAAATAAAAAAATATATTTTATAAAAAATATTTTACATTCAAACAAACAACCTAAATTTCACTTAATTCCTTTAATTTTGTCTAATTTCACTTATCTTTCTGATTCTAATTTATGTAACAAATTCTTCATGTCTATCATTTCATTTTGCATTTCTAATATCTAAAATAACAACAATCATTTCATAGATAAAATGGTAAAAAGTGAGATTTACCTAATATTTTTTTCTTCATTTTCTTCTTATAGGTTAACCTAAAAACCAAAAGTGATTAACAATATATATATATTATATTTTATTGTTATTTCATATATAATGTTTTTATTTTTTCCAATTTCTATAACTTAGAATACCAAAAATATTTTTCTTTAATGAATTCATCACTCTCACCAAAACTTGATTCTGGCATCATTACTCATAAATGATAAAGAAGAGTTTTTAATGGACACTATTCATTAAATTGAACAAAAATAATTAATTGATTCTTGCATCATCACTCATCAAACAAATATTAAAATAGGTTAAAATAGTGGAATCAATTAATGCAACTCATTCCCTGTACAAGTGGGTTCATCACTTCAAATTGTAAATTATTCCTAATAATTAGTCCATGGTTTCATTCCAAATTAATTTTTATATTCATCAACATCATCAGTGTTAGGTCTCCATAATTCATGATTAGACACGTACAATTCTCAGACAATCTTCCCTTACAAATAATATGAAAACAATTATCGAAAATATTCTTTTAAAATAACCTCATAAAAATAATGTAACTACAAAATTCTCCTATCACATATTTTTATTTATAATTATCCCGTTAATGTAATAGGATAAAACATTACATGTGATGTGACTATTACCCCATATATTATCAAGCCAAAAGAAAAAAAATATATCTGTATAATAATGCTATTTTTCATTATATTTTATATTCAGTAATATCTTATTTCGCAATCACATTTTCTTTATAAAAAAAAAATCACATTTTCTTTTTTTTTTTTTTATTCCAAGTAATATACTTTTGCTGTCGCTCACCTGAAAGTCGCGTCACAAGAACCCTAGCATAGAGGCGGTAAAGTGAGATCCAGTGGCTGAAGAACTGAAGAGAGAGAAAGAGAGTAGAGAGAGAGCAAATGGCGATTTCCGGAGATTTTAGGGTTTCTGCAACACTGGGAACTCATCCAACGAATCCCCTTCGGAGCTCCTTGCCCCCTTCAAAGGTCGAAAATCTTCCTCATTTTGGTTATTAGCTTTATAGTTCACATAAAATTTACTCGCATATATCTAATTTGACTTGGGTTCAATGTAATCCTTCAACTACTTAGATTTAATTTGATTCTTCTATGACATTTTAACTAGCAATTCATTTTTATTCAATTGATATTGCAAGTCATGAGTTACGTGTTTGCTGAGGTCTGATGTTTAACTAGCTCTTGTATGGGTTTGTGTTCAAATTATATACCAGAAGATGAAATTTTAGAAATGTAGTGTTAAATCCTCAGACAATTACCATGCCTGTTTCATTTTGTGATTCTGTTTGAATATTTTCATTTTTGTCCTGGAAAAACACATATGGGGCTTATTACTTCAAGCGGGATTTCTTGTGATTGTTCATGGTCCGTGTTTTCTCATCCGAATTCCTCATCTGGGTGTCATAATTGGCCTTTGATGCGGAACGGATGAATTATTACTGTTATTGTTGCTTACATTACATTATATAACATTCTCAGTGTCCAAACCCGCCACGAATTTGCCTGCTCAAACTCCCAAGGTCTTGTTGCCGAGGTCTTCCAGCACATCCGTCATGTATATGCGGAACGGATGAATTATTACTGTTATTGTTGCTTACATTACATTATATAACATTCTCAGTTTCAAACTTGTCACGAATTTGCCTGCTCAAACTCCCAAGGTCTTGTTGCTGAGGTCTTCCAGCACATCCGCCATGTATGGCATAATTTTAAGTTATAATCATATTGGCCTTTGATGTGGAATGGATGAATTATTACTGTTATTGTTGCTTACATTACATTATACAGTATAACATTCTCAGTAACCAAACCCGCCACGAATTTGCCTGCCCAAACTCCCATGGTCTTGTTGCTGAGGTCTTCCAGCACATCCGCCATGTATGGTATAAGTGTTAGTTATAATAAGGATCAACTAGGACAGGCCTAAAATGTTTGTGGTAAAAATTCAAACTGATTTGATTTAGGAATTGAGACTCACATAATCAAATGTTTGTTTGTCTTCTCTTCGTGCTAAATTTTTGTGGTGCTTGATTTGTATTTTAAAAACATGGTTGAAACATATGCTTCTGTCCCTCAAAATAACAGGCAATTTTGAAAGTATGAAACGACTTGCACGTTCTTGGGTGGTTTGTTAGTCATTTATTTTTTAATATTGTCATCTAAGTTGCAATTTTTATTTCTTTTTAAATTTGGTGGATAGGAAGTAGGATCAAGAAGCTCTTGGTCACGAACTAATATGGATCCTAAGAATATGCAATTTTACCATCCAAAAGTATTGCATTGTTTCAGATCATGGTCGTCATGTAGAAGAGCTGAGGAGGGTAGAAATATTTTGGATGGTAAAATTGCATAACCCAATGGTCACACTCTACTCCTAAAAAGTAAAAACAGTGTTTCAAGTCTTTGGTTATTCTAATGACCAGCCGATTCCACTCTTTCCGATCATATGTATTATGCATTATTTTCAATTTCAATTTCAATTTGTCTTATGATAATTCTAGGTTGTAGCTTTTTCTACCATTATCATTTTATGAGAAAGCTGATTTTCTTATATAATTTTAAGTGCTTTATTTATCAGTGTTGTTAATCTATTATGTTGTCCCAGGTGATTCTTGTTGCATAACTTATATTTTCTACTCTTTTTATTTATCTTTCATTAAATTGAAATGTTACTTTGAAAATGTTTGTCATGGCCACCAATTTTGGAGGATATCAAAGATACATATATATATATACATATATATATATATATATATATGTTCCTTTTTTACAAGTGTGATAGGCATTGTAGCTTGTTTTTATGAATTTCTTATATTTTGGAATTCTTCGTTGTATCATCCCACTGCAACCTGAAAGATAAAAAAGTTATAGAAAACTGAATGACTGCAGTTGTTTGTAATTATAAAAAAAAAAAAGTTTGTGTATTGTGAAGTGAATGCAATTTTAATTCTTAAATGGTAGGAAACATCTAGTAGATTTGACATGACAGTATGTCAAACAAAATTGGGGATTCTAATTTGATGGTTGCATTGGTACAATGGAGCATCATATGTATTTCTTAAAGACGATTTTGTGCTGCATTATAGGTGGATTTCGGTGGTTTCTTGAAAGGAGGATCTAATGTTTCTGAGATTGCACCCAAATGGTCCCGCATAGTGCTCAATTGCCATAGCAGCGTACGCTGTTACTATAAACAACCTCATGGGATTACTGAAGAATACAAGTTATCTACAAGTTCCATCAGCCCAGAAGCTGAGAGTTTCCTCCTTAATGCTATAAACATGAGTTTTTTTGAGCGTTTAAACTTGGCGTGGAAGATAATGTTCCCGTCACCAACGTCAAGGAGAAAATCTAATGCAAGGATTGCCAAGCAACGTTTGAAGATGATTCTCTTTTCTGATCGATGTGCTGTTAGTGATGAGGCAAAGCAGAAGATAGTGAGCAACGTTGTGAACGTGCTATCAGATTTTGTGGAGATCGAATCACAAGACAAAGTTCAGCTGAATGTCTCTACAGATCCAGATATTGGGACTATCTATTCTGTGACAGTGCCTGTTCGTCGGGTGAAACCAGACTACCAAATTGAGGATGAGGTTGGAGCAATAACAAATATAGAATACAAAGATACTGGAGAAACTTCTGGTTCGGTCGATGTCAGGTTTGATTTCTATGTTCCAAGTGAAAACTACAATGACTTCAGCATGTAGAAAAAGGGTACACCTGAGCATAGGCGGGGCGTGACACTAAGCTGGAAAATAGAAAGAAAAAAAAAAGGGGTAAACAAATAATGTTTTTCCTGGTAGTTAAGAGGCTCTACTTCTGAATGTTTGGGCTTTTAGCCATTGAGACAACCTAAATACTTTTGTATATATTTGAAGTTTCTTTTTAGGTGAGTGATGAATTTATAGTTGTGATTTTTTTTTTTCCTCCGAAAAGTAAAAAAGTTGGACCATTTCTCGATTTGTGATGGTTGTGGTCTCATTGCATCTTGCATATTGTATTCACTACTCAGGTTTTGTTTCTTAACCTCTCTGCATATAAATGCACATGCAGGGCTTGGTTCTTCAAAGGATAAAGGCTGCTCATTGACAAATGATTTTTTTTTTTTGGTGGAAGTTTGTGTGATTAGTATGGTTTGCAAGCGGTCATGGTAATGGATTCGGACAAAGTCAATAAAAATTGGCCAATACGAGTCACGTATCAAATTTGAAAAAAAAATTTGTATCGGACGATACACTGAACCATAATGATTAGAGTTATGGTACATGAATGTTATGGACCAAAATTGAGGGTCATTACTCCTAGGCTCCTAGCCAATTTATGAAATTGAGGGTCATTACTCCAAGGCTAGGACTCCTAGGCTCCTAGCCAATTTATGTCCTTGGTTAGTGGGATAGTGGAACATGTTACATGCATCTCCAGTGGTACCATATACCGTCAATATCTTTTATTTTTTTTCTTTTTTTAATGGAATATATATATATATATATATATGTATGTATGTATATACACATACATACATACATTGAAAACATCCATAATGGGGATTGTTTGGTGCAAAGTGTATATGTTTGAACAGATAGGTGTTAAGACGTGGATTCTAATATGTGAATGTAAATTTTGTGCAAAATTAATGCCAAATATTCGTATTAATGAAAGGCAGGTCCAAAAGAAAATGACGATTTTCTGCTATAATTTTTTTCTTCCTATAATTGTTTGCAACATAATGAATGCGGAGATTGCATGTATCAATAGTGGATTATGGAATGCTTTAAAAAACCCAACATCACAAATTGCTCGTGAACAACTAAGTTAATTTGCAAATCTTATTTCTACCATAACACTAAACATGCTAATAGTTAATTTTAGTTAACGAAGTGAAATATATTGAAATCCTATTCTAATGCAAAATATTTAATTGCAGGCAGGAAAAAAAAATGACGTTTTGCAATATTGAAGATCATATATTAATTTGTACAAATTAATACCTTGAGTTAGTGATAATTAATAAAATACAAACATATGCTTGTGGCAAAGAGGATAAGTCACAATCTAAATAACTATTTAATATTTTTATTGTAGCAGTGCTGAGCTTCATCTCGTGCATCTAGAGCCCTTATCTTCCGTACACCCTTATTTATAGCTTCTTTTTCCTCAGCCGTTAAGTTTATCACCAAAGCCTTCGATATATTCACTCTGTTTCTGAAATTTTTAAAAAAAGACCAATTAGACAATAACAATAGATATAAGTTATAACATAACACGAGCACAATGTTTTTTTTATTATTTTAATTCTATTAAAAAAAGACAAACATAATGCAAAAAAAAAGATAATAATATCAAAGATACAAAAACAATGCAGATAAGGTAATTTCCTATAGGGATATATACTTAAATAATAATAATGCAACAAATTAATTATCTAAGAAAGAAACTATAAGCTCCAAGATCAATTCTAAAATTACTTTCTTTTACCCTAGAAGCCCTTAAATTCATGGAGTGATATTTGGATTAGGAAAAACGTGTATGAGAAACAAAAATAAACAAAGGAAGCATGAAAAAATTACGAAAAGATGGAACTCTGACTTAATATTAAATGAAACCGGTGTAATCTCCTAATCCTACGGTGCACAATCTTTAACAAAAAGGACGCCAACATAGTTTCATCAACATTCTTTATTTTAACCTAGAAGCCATGAAATTCATGGAGTGATATCTGTATTAGGAGAAAAATATTTGAAAAAAATACAAACTTAAACACAGGAAGCACAAAAAAGTTTACAAGAAGATGGAACTCCAACTAACTATTAAATGAAACTGGTGTGATATCCATATCCTTAAGGCACACAAGCTGTTTTTTTTTTTAAAAAAAAAAAAAAAAGACAGTTGCTGAAGTACTTCACGTGCCCAAGTGATAGCAGTTGCATCTCCTTAAGCAACCTGCTTAAAGAGCGAGAGTTTCTGGCAAACTAAGCAGAAAACGCAAAACCTCACATATGAATCAACTCCAGAAGTTAGTGCTCCATTCCATGACTGAGTTTACGCATAAGATTCAATATGTTAACTCAAACCGGTAGAGCAGGATGACAAAGCTTTTCAAGGAGAAAAATGAACCGAGTATTTCATGAATAGATCCAATTTGATGCGAGGCTCATTCATGTTCGACCATTTAGATAATGAAGCAAGCTCAAGGATTTTATTAAAGCTCTTTTAAACATCAAGCTCAAAATTCTCCAAGTGAACCACGCCCTGACCCAAAGATCAGGGCATGTGGAGAGTTCGATAAGCTCCCTCACAACGCAACAATCCTATGAGAGCATAAAGATGTGTAGAGAATGCATGATGAGACAGCCTGCTTCAGTAGTGCAGTGTGAGGTGAGGATCCTTAAGAAAGCCTATTTGCACGACAAGAGACTCTACACCGAAACCCTTAATTGGATTACACAACACCCAAAAAGAAATGTAGTCTAAGCGATGGGATTGGAATATATAGAGCATTATGAAGAGCACACATCAAAATTTCAGTGGACACATCCTTCATGAACATAGTGTATTAAGCCTCCAGTTGGGGGTGGAAAAAGCTTCTAAGCCTCAGAAGTCAAGCTAGAATGCAGAACGAAGAGCTCTTTACTATATATTAATGAATCTTACCAAGTATTTCTTAAACAGGATGCTGAATCAAATCTTTGTTTCAGAAAATTCCCTAAATAAACTAACTCGATAAAAGGAGTATGGCACTTCTCAATTTGATAAAGGAAGAAGATCTACTCATCTCACAAGGCATTAAAGAAACAAAGTCGTTTACCATTCCACCAGAACATCTAAGTATTTGACAGGTTTCACTGCGGAAAGCCCCTCGCTACACAACACAAGTAGCGTCGGCCACTTTGACTCGCGTAACACTTGCTATATCTACAAGAGTCGGTGGATCACATCCACACTCATTGAAGACAGAATGTAGGCGGCTCAAATCCAAAATATTGGAAGGCGCGGTTGAAGAAGAAGATCCAGTAATGCAAGAGAAGAAAGGGGATTGGTTCTCAGTTAGAAAGGCCTTAAGACCTACTAGCTTGCAAGATGGTAAAACAGGACCAAAGCCTTTCACGAATGTTAAAGGTGTTGTCATCTCAACAAGCCGGCACCCCTTCTATAACCCTCATTTAAACATCTCGCATGGCCACTTGTGGGCCCATTTTCCATCTTATCCAGAAAAAGGCCAGCCAACTCATTGAGATGACCATCCATTTTTCAACTGGAGGAAATTGCACGAGTTGGCAAATTGACACATGGAATCTTGTGCTAAGTCCATATGATGCGATACAAAGTGCCATCACATGTTAGGAATACTGGAAGCAAAAATTCTGATTGTCAAGCATGAACTAGATTCAAGATATCACAATGGCACGTAGATCGCGAGCTGCAATCATTAAAATTGAGTAATTGTTTCATATACAACTATACACTTTATACAAGGTGAGACCAATAGATAATGAAAAACAAAAAATTACATGAAAGTTTCAAGGGAAATAAAACATACCTTTCAAAGAGCAAATCCGCCGATTTAATTCTCCTGTAATCAAAACAAATTAAGATATAAGAGACATTAATAGTGAATATTACTCCACAACTGTTCCAACGTAATTCATAATTCTTAGATATACCTGTTAGATACATCAATACAGTACACAATTTATCTCTCTCTATATATTCTTAACAATACCCATAACAAAATTATGAACCTTGTATGATTTCAAGTATTGTTAATACAAGCTGTGAACTAGTCAATTGAGATCTGAACTGAACAAGAGAGTGAAACATACCACTTGGCAAGTAGAACACCGACACTGGCACTCGCAGCAATAGTCACCGGAATTGAAACTGATTTACGAAAACGAAATTATTTGTATCAGTGAGTGAGAATTGAAACGCATAGAATCGAGACAATGAAGGTAAGGTGGAGAGAGAGAATTACTCAATTGAGTGAGCGCCGACATCTTGGTGGCAAAATTACTCAATTTAGAATGGAAAAGTAACAAACGAATTTCAATTCTTCTGATTTGCTCCTCCTGAAAACCCTAGCACCGTACAGGATAGCTTAAAAATCTCCACTGCAGAAGTTCTCTACGAACGAAGAATTAGCAAACTTTGACAACCGCCTTTCGATTCTTCTGATTTGCTCCTCCTGAAAACCCTAGCACGGTACAGAATAGTTTCAAAGCCTCCACTGTGAATGGTTTTATAATATACTCAAAAGTATATATGTAGAAGAAGAAGAAATCTTGTAAATATACTCAAAAGTATACATGGTCCCACTTGGAGAAGGAGAAGGAATTTAAAATTGACGAGCCGGTTTGGAGTCTTTGGACGCAAAGGCTCGAAATAATTTGGGGCCATAGGCCAACAAAAATAAAGAAGTGATTTTTTAATAATATATTAATCGTAAATAATATTCATTTAAAAATAATCCTTATTACTGTATAAAATATAAAATTACTAATTAGATTCTTGTATTTAAGTTAGGTTAAAATATGCTGCGCGCACACACACACACACGTGTGTGTATATATATATATAAATTTATAATAACAAAATTTAATAAAATTTAAAAATAAATAATAAAACCTAATTTAGAAAACCCAAATAAAATTTAACGAGTATTGAGTGAAGAAAAAAGAGAATTATAAACTTGTATGTTCCGTTTGGTAGGAAAGAAAAAAATTGAATAGAATGAAGATAATAAGGAATGACTGAGACATCCAAAATAGATTAAAGTATTTCCCTTTTTTGTTCGGTTGGATGGAAGAGAATGGAAAAAACTGACAATTTAATTTGATCGGTAGGATAAGAGTAGGGGTGATCACGAATCGGATCGGTTCGGTTTGGGGTAAAATTCAATCCGAACCGGTCCTTACGGATTGGAGAAATTTGAAATCGAACCGATCCGTGGGGAACTTCAATCCGA